TACTTAGCAAAATAAAAATTATTTGAAAGAAAATTTTCTTACTCAGTTTTATTAGACCTCCAAAAAAATAAATCCGTGAACGAGAAAGGATCACAGCTAAAATAAATCGACATATGTCTGTATTAGTTAACCAAATCTGAATAAAAATATTCAGCTTAAAAAAGGTGTACATTTTGAGGAGAAAGCGACTGACGATTAAGAAAGGCATAGGCTTGTAGATTGAATATCACCAGAGACGAGGAGCAAAAGATGGACAGGTTTGTAATGATGGAAACGTGTAAAAATGCGATACATTAATTTGAACCTCACAGGATTTATTGATGTCAAGATGAGCACAGGGAAACATCAAAAAGCCAACCTAATAATCTTGTGTAAGTGGTTTGCAGATCAGTGACTGAAAGGGCTAGTAAGGGTACAGATATTTCGTAGAGCCACAAAGGATAGGAAGATGTGGAGAACCATAATCAACCCACCTAACGTGCTTGTGTGAATCGTTGGCAGATCAGTGACTGAAAGGGATATTAAGGATACAAATGTTGCTTAGAGACATAAAGGATAGGAAATTGTGGAGAGCCATGATCAACTTAACGAGCTCATGTAAATGTATGGTAGAACAGGGACTGAAAGGGAGAGTAAGGGGTCAAATGTCATATCGAGCTGTAAAGTTGGCAAGAGCAATGGTGTCCACATCTTGAAGGATATACAAAAAAGAAACAAAGAAAAGAGTCTGTGCTGTTGTATGGATTGGATGCTAGACAATCTCCTCAAAGATGAGGAAGAGACTTGAAGCAACGTAAATGTGATTCTACAGAAGAATACTAAGGATGCTGCGGATCAAACATGTGGGTAACGATGAGGTTTTAGAGAAAATGGAAACAAAAGGGAAGTTTATGCTTAACATCAGAAAGAGACAGTTGAAATGTATGGGGCACATAATGAGGAAAGAGAGCTTGACAAAACTGATACTCACAGGGCTGACAGAGAGCAAGAGGGACAGAGGAAAACAACGCATAACATATTTAATGAGCTTGAGCAAATGGGTGGTGGAACAGGCTTTAGGAGAAATAACAAAAAGACAGAATTTATTAAGTGCTACAAAGAACAGGAAGTTGTGGTGGGCCATGATCGCTTACGTCCTTAGAAGACACGGCACATAATGAAGATGAAAGTAACAAGAATGGAGCACATGATATGGATCGTATGCACAGCAATAATCTATAACTAGCTTGCTAAACCACTACACCAGAAAATTAGATATCTTTTTTTTTTTTTTTTTTTGTCTTTTTATTGAATGGTTTGCGAATTTTTTCAAGTTTTGTTGCTTGTATATTTTTAAAAAAATTGTCTTAAGGAAATATTACTTTGTTTTTCATTGTTTCTCCAGCCAATAGTTTAGGAGCGATAAAAAAAGGGTGGGGGGAGGGAATAGTTACTAGTTTTAGTCTCTACGTGTAGCTACATGCTGAGTGCTTAAGTTTTTGTTAAGAGAAGAATAACATCTCGTATAATCTGACATGAGCCATCAAGTAAGTAAACATAAGATTAAATCCAATCGTTCACCGCTTCTCTTTTATTAAATACCGGATGACTATTTGGATATGTAACCCACTTTTACTTAATTTCTCTTCCATCTTTCCGTTTTCATATTAAATATGAATTTTATAAATAAAAGAAAAATGCCATTCGAATTTATTATTTGAAGAATTTGAGAATAATTAAATATTTTATTCATGTCATGGAGGGACCAACCATTATTATAAAGTGAGATTATGAAAATTTATTAATATATTTTATTACTTTAAAACAATAGAAAGCTGATCCCCCACTTTATGCCCAATTTAAACATATATTAATACGCGTCTATTTCTTTAAAAATTAACGATATATTTTGTTAATACATTAAAATTATGAGAAAGTTTGCACATGTGAGTTCTTAAATACAGTGGAACCTCGGTTCACGAATTTAAATCGTTCCTTAAACCCGTCCGTAAACCGAAATGTCCGTAAACCGAAACTATTTTTTTCAATAGGAATCATTGTAAAATGGATCAATCCATTCCTGGTCCCAAGATGATTGCTTATTTAAACTTTAACAATAGTACTTTGTGCACAAGTTTATACACAAAACGAATGAAAATCATTAAATCTAAGTGTAATAATACTGGCAAATTAATATGCCCAATTTGCATAAGTGCAAGAGAAAGACTATAGTTATATAGTGTCACTGAGAATAACGGAAAAAAAAAGAATACAAGCTTAGCGACTGACTAGTGCTAAACTTGGACATCAGAACACTCAGAAAAAAAATACTTAATTGCTTAAATTATAGACGAATATTTTAATTTTAAGGTAGGGGAGTTGATGGCGTAAGAGGAAGGTGGGGTGGAAGGGTAAGGAAGGAGATGTTATTGTTTGGAAAATGGAAGGAAACACATGATTGTCTCTTTATTTATAAGAATAGTATAGATCGTTGATTTTGCCATATGAAACTGAAAAGGAAGAGACAATATCAGCAACAATTGTTTTTCTCAGATTAGGCGAAAGTACCCGTATCCACTGGTCATTTGAACTATTTTTACACATACTATATCAAGGAAAGAAATCACTTATACAAATTCAAGTAAAATTGAATAAAAAGCTTAATCGCAGTGTCTTTCAGTAGTTTTCAATGAAATTTGTATAAAAGAGGATTTGCCCAAATACACAATATATATATATAATATATATATATATATATATATATATATATATATATATATATATATTATCCCTCGCCGATAGCACGACTCGGAGTTTCATGCCCAACGTAATCTTCAGGTGCTGAATATAGACTGACTATTACGTAATTTAAATTTTAATAAAAATATTTGTTTATCGGAATGTTGGCTCAGATATAAATTATGCTGGGATTACGGTTTTTATTAATTTAAAAAATATATTTGGCATTTAAAATAAACGGGATTTGTATATATATGCAAATATATGTAAATATATGTAAAGAAATATTTTAGATTTGTGAATATTATTTTTATTTTTATATTAAGCCTAAAGAGAGATTACTTGTTCTTTTATACATACATACATACATACATACATATATATATATATATATATATATATATATATATATATATATATATATATATATATATACTATAATAGGAGGCTGAAAAAAAAAACAGCCTAAGAGGTATAAACACTAAAAAGTGCTTAATACAAAATTCCAAAAGTAAAAATGCAGAGCAAAAACATTTACAAAAACATTAAAATGCAATCTACCTTACTACTCAGGTTTCACCTTAAAAGTCTTCTCAGACAAGTAGAAGAAATTATTTATTTGTAATAAAAATATAAAATGGGGAATGAGGGGAAAAAGACGGTCTTTTTCTGTCTTAACGTTAAACTTAATTAGCCACAAATACTGACCCAAACATACAACAATATTCCTTACACCACAACAGCGCATTCTTTCTTACCATTCTTACTACATCCATCATAATACCTCATTGTCTCCATGAAAGTCCTAATTAGTCCCCTATATGAACAATTCATTGTCTGTGGGGGAAGGGGAATAAAATAACAATTTAAAAAGCTAAAACCCCAATGAATATTTACAAAATGTACAAGAAACTAAACAAAATAATGTTAGTAATAACCCATTCACAATCCCTAAAATGGCAGAAACATCAGTTCACTGGACGAAATAAAAGCGGAATTTTAATAAGATAAGACATTCATTCATCCGGAGTACTCATTCAACTAAACACTGAGTCAAACACAACAACAAATACGAAAATGACACCTGAAACGAAGGACGCCTCGCATCAGCCAGAGCACTGACATCACTAACCACCTAACGAGGGAAGGGATTGGGGAATTAAACTAAAGAAATATAGGGACAGAAATAAAATGGGCCAATGAGCATACATCCCCTAGCTAAGTTAACTTGAAGGAAGAAACTAAGGACAAAAATGAAACCCTAAACTAACCTAAAGGCCAGTAGAAAAATGAAGAGTCTAGTATATTCCATCAATTTATAGTTTTTCCTCTTACCCTCCCACTTTTCCTCTTCCGCCGCTTTTTCCCCTTTTTTTCCTTTCCACTCCCACTTCCATCTTTCATCCTCTTTTCCTGTGGTCATATAAATTGATGGAATATACGAGATTGAATTTTTTACTACTTGCCTGAGGAAACCTTGCGGTTAAAACACTGGTGTGTGTAGCTTAATATTACAAGACATGTTCAAAGCGAAGCAACCGGTTTCGCTCCCGCTCTTCAGGCCTCTACGGGAGATTTAACTTAAATTAAAAACAACAGAAAATGTGTAATGAGAAGGGGAAGGGAAATTTTTTCCCCTTCTCCTGGATGTGGGGTTCAATCCCTAGTGTAGCGAAATCAATATACACCTATTTTTTTTAATCATTTTACCCCAAACAAGGCGATAATGCCACTAAGATGCAAGGAGTTACTAGGCGTGAAAGAGAATGAGAAGACTTTAGTGAGAAGAAAGGACAATAAAGGAACATGATTTAGGTAGACACAAAATGGCGGTGCATTTAAATTATTAAAGGAAGCAAAAAATTGAAAGAGAGTTCCACAGGTGATACGTGATATGAGAATAGAACATGCAGTTTCATTTAGCTAGTTCAACAGTAAAACGGCGAGACCAATCTAGTAGTACGTTTAACTGAATGCAGTCGAGTCCCAAAAGAAGAAGAGCTCATCAGAACAATTGCCATGAAAATATTTGTAGAAAAGACAGAGGCTAGCCATTTCATGTCGGTGGGAAAGTAACCGAAGTCGAAATGCCAGGTCAGGGCCTATAACATCACAGAGTTTTCTTTATCAAGAGCGAGAAATGGTACCACAGTGCAAATAATAGAAGAACCAGTTCTTAACAGTCGCAATAGTAAACCTGAAGATGGTCGTCGCATACACAGTCGAAACATAGTTTCTATAAAAACAAACACAGATTAAATATCAATTAGTTATTTTATGATTACGGCCACATCATTTTGAAACACCGGTTTTTGTATGATCACTGAAGTTAAGCAATGTAGATCCTGGCCAGTACTTGGATAGTTGACTGCTTGGGAATGCCAGGCGCCGTAAGTTTGGATGTGGAGGTGATATAATGCATAATGGGAAAGCCGAGTTAGAATTTCCGTTGGGTTTGTTATATTCACTTATGCATATATACCCTTGAGAAAGGCATCAATCCACCTCTTCTCCCTCAGTTATGGGTTAATTAGTAAGACTTGTATCTAAAACATTATATCCAAAAAAAAAAGAATTACATTTAAAAAAAAAGATTGTCTTTAAATAATCTGCAAAAAGCTGATACTGTGTAGAAAACGAATGAATCAATCAATCAATATTTCTTTTCTTTGTTCAATATTTTTTTATGACTCATATTTAAATTCACTAATGAATTAACCTTAATTTAGAACGTTAAATGAATCTGGATGTGCGGGTGGTGTGACGGATATCAGCAGGAAAGAAGAGTTGGGCAAGCCGAGTTCATATTCAGCGTTGGTCTGCTGCGCTCACTTTCGCGCTGATACCCTTAGGAATAAGCAAGCTTAGATCTCTTCTCTTCAAGATAGAAGCTTAGATAAAGCGCAGCCAGTGCTCTCTAGTCATGAGCGACAACCAGTCTAAGAGAAGGAATCTAGATTCCAAAACGCTCCACTATCTTTCCCAAGAACGCATAGCAATTCTCAAATAACGAATTAGAAAGAAGCTGTGGAGAGCCAGGGATTCCTTCAGAGTGTATATTGGAATCTTTTTCAGATCAATCCGAGTGCTCCAACTGCAACTGGAATTGTTAATGTCCTCATGCGCCACATTTTTGAGATGTCGATTTCAAGGTCCTTGTATTTTGATAGTTTTTTTGAAGATCTTCAAAGATACATTACAGGGACTGTCATGTCAATAAGGAGGCATATTTTGTCTCTGCGGTCTCTAATCACGATGATATAATAGTTTTAAAATGATTTGCTTCTTTTTATCTTTTTCTTAACTCTTATTCTAAATTACAAAGATGCCTTGCAGAATTTTTTCCGCATCAAACAAATTATGTCAAAAGTTTTCCGGATGTTGTCAAAAGACAAATCAATTGGTTTTAAATCAGGAATTTAAAATGCAATTACGGATTCAGTTAAGGGCGCGTGGCCGAGTGGTCAGAACATTCCGACCATGAGACCGAGTTTTGAATCTTACCGTGGTCGATCGGTCAAGAAGGAAAATTCTTGAGGTTATCGCCCTGGGAAGGCGATCCCAGCATGCAGCACCGCTAGAAAGTGCTTTAAATCCATACTAAAGGCTTCCCCAAGTCTTGTGGGTGAAATTAGGTATATAAAACAGTTCTAGGGCCGTCACAAGCTTGGGTGTAGTAGCCTTGTTCAAGCTATTGATCACGTCAGCTTATGAACTCCCACCTCGAAACTGTAAATATGGTCAGCTCAGCATATTTGTCGAATAAACCGTAAGTGGGCTCTGTTAGTGGTGAACAAACGCGAATGCGCCTGAGCAGGCATCTGCAACAGGGATTGTTTCTCGGCCGTAGCAGACGGGTGTGCAGGGAAACGAGTAACCGCCCATTAATGGATTCAAACACTGTATTCTGCTTGCAAGTTCGTTTTATCATCTGGTATTGTGAATTCAATCCTTAGGTGAGTCAGTACAGAAAGGAACAGTTTCGGTGAATAATAATAATAATAATAATAATAATAATAATAATAATAATTGTGTTAGCCCAAAATGCAGATTCTGTGATAAATATACAGAAACAATTAATCATCATGTAGCAGATTGCGCGGTATTGACACCCACTGAATATAAAACACGACATGTCAGAGTGGGCCAATATCTGGACTGGAAAATCTGCAACACACACGGAAAGGAAACTGCAAGAAACTTTATGGAACTTTACAATAGAACATTCAAAGCTAATCGCCCTGACATCGTGATTAGAAACCGCAAAGACAAAATATGCTTCCTTATTGATATGGCAGTCCCTGCAGACTGTAATGTATCTTTGAAGATCTTCAAAAAGCTGTCAAAATACAAGGACCTTGAAATCGAAATCTCAAAAATGTGGTACATGAGGACATTAGCAATTCCAGTTGTAGTTGGAGCCCTCGGACTGATTGGAAAATATTTCAATAGACTCATTGAAGGAATCCCTGGTCGGCCACGCCTTAAAGAAAAGCAAAAAATTGTACTTACAAGTACAGCCTATACCTTACGAAGGGTTTTATCTATATAAAATATGTGCGATTTCTTTTCAAAAAAGCTCAGTGGAAAATACCATGATGCCATTTCTGAGCTTAGGTCTCTGGTCGGGACCCGAAAAGAAATGAGTATATACCAGAAACCAAATAAAACAATAATAATAAAACGACTACGTTTAGTTCTATCCATTGAAAGCAAGTACAGAACATGACATCTGCTTCGACAGAATAAAATATTCTACATAAATATCCCTGATATTATCGAAGTGTCTACGTGCAGAAAGCCGAAGAGTACACCGGCCAAAACTCTGTGATAAACATAACAAGAATTAGGATTTTAGACGCAAAAGACCATTGAATAATTTGTGACATTTTCACTCTGTTCGACATCAAAGCGACTACAGTCCTGCTTCTATCTAATGTACAGGAGTGTTCAATACTCGTTCAATAAGAGCAAACATTCATAATGCTTATCTCCCACCACCACACTATGCTGTGCCTTTTTTTTTTTATATCTGTTTCGGTCGAGTAAACGGAGGGTTCCATTCTAAAGGGTTCATAGGTGATTCTTGTTTTACTTCGTTTCCTTGGATCTTTCCGGGAAACAGTCGTAGGTGTAACGAACAGGAAAATAAGACAGCGACAACTCGTAGTCTCGCGTTAAGCCACGATATTTTGTTTAATCGAATACAGTATCCGTTAACAGTATCTTCTATTACAATATGAAGTCTACTACAAAGTGAATGGGAAGATATGCAGCTTGTTATCTGTCTACATTTCTGAAATGAGGTATTGTAATTATTTATACTATTTTCATTGTTCAATCTGTTGTCCTCATCTTTGTTGCCATATTCACAACGTTTCGGTCGTTGTACGTTCGGGCCTTTTTCAGGTGATTGAAATTTCGAATAGAACCCTTTATTTCGTCCACCGACGTAGATTGTTCTTTTCACATATCATGACTCTTCTGTGTGTCTCAGTATCAATTATCTCCCTTTGACTCAACTCTCAACGCTGAGGTGAACTAAAATTTGGGGTGTTGAGTTAAAGGGAGATAAATGATACTGAGACACCTGGAAGAGTCACGGCACGTGGAACAAGAACAATCTACTCTGGTGGACGAAATATAGGGTTCAGTTCGAAATTCCAATCATCTGAAGAAGGTTGGAGCGTACAACAGCCGAAACGTTGTGAATATGGCAATAAACACGAGGACAATAATGCGATCAGTGTAAATAGTGTAAATGTAGCTTGTTCTGCAACAGGAAACTGTTTCAAACGCCCCAATAGATGGAGCTATATTTCTGACTATGTGGCGTTTTGTTAGACGCTAAGACTTAACTCGGTCGAATTTTGGGGTAAGGTGAATTTATAGCGTTGAGTGACATTCGTTTCCAGGCCAAAACTTGTTGCGACTGTCCAAAGACGTGAAATGCCTCAATTATATTGGGAATATAGACAAAGACAATTAAACATGGAGTCATGTATTATAAAATTCCCATCCGGCTCCCGACTTTTGATATATTCTTTTCTTAGTAGCTTTTATTAATTCTTCTTATCTTTCCCTAGAATATTTCAAATCTTGCCTGCTTTTCAGAATTTGGGATATTTATTTTTTTCTTTCTATCACAAGCTATCACTCATTTTTCTATTATTCCGAGAAACATATCTATCTTTTCTGCTCTTTAGAGGAATGAAGGAAGTGTCACCCGACACCTTACTCCCCGTCCAACCAATGTAACCTCTGCCTTTCCGCTTGAAATGTCTATCTCGCTGTTTTTTTTATTGGGAAATATTTTCTACCTGGGACTTGTTTGAAACCCTGTACTTGAGCCGCCCATTGGAGGAACATTCACATAAATTAAGTTGCTTTTATTTATCAAACTCCTTGACAACTAATGGCGAGTCACAGGTGGTGGGGGAAAACCTCCCAAACTGTCTAAACCCCGAATCTGTAAGTTAATTAATCAGCGTAACTATAAACAGTTTCTTGTAAAATCAAACCCAAATGTTCTTTTTCTTTCTTGGCACAAATTTCATTGCCATTTGTTTTTATTTTATTTTTGTTTTGTTTTTCTTCCGATTAAACAAAGTTTTGTTTTATTTTTGTTTTGTTTCTCTTCTGATTAAACGAGAGTTTATTCCCGTGCAAATATTTTTCCGCCATTTCCACTGAGTTGATTTCATTCCGGTTATTTATTTATTCTATAATGTCTTTGTGTGGGTGTCTGTCTATCAGCTAATCTCAAAAGTGATTCACAGTAGCATCAAGGCTACCCAATGACCACTATTCAGATGAGATCCATTCTTTAGTTTCACCTGTTCAGACCTTTGCAACCAGGACAGGTTATACTACTTTCGCAGAGTCGAAATACCATCTTTACCTTCGTATTCCGAATGTAAGGAGAAAGTTTTACCCAGACAGAATAGCCACTTTGTGGAACAGCCTCCAGTATGAATGTTTCCATGTATCTCTTCAAGTCAAGGGTGAATCGTTACTTACGACTTAGATTCATAATCTTCACTTCCTACCACCTCTTTCATTCAAATCGTACAACACATGGCGTTCTTTTCTAAAGGCCAAGCCATAATGCAACCCACGTGCAGAACTGGAGGCCTATTTCAAATTCGTCGTTCCACTAAAACAATTTTTTTTTTTAGTTTTGGTTGGGGTTTGCAGTAGTTCGCGTTTTGTAAAGAAAAATACATCAAAATAATAAAGGACAACTTTTCAGGTCAAATAAAATATGTTTTTAATTTCTACTTTTTCTTTCTTAAACCAGCCACAGCAGCAAACTATTGCAAATCCAAACAGAAATAAAAAAAAATGCTCTAAAATCTAAAATTAATGCAAACAAAAAAATAGAATAAGCTTGA